GTCAATAATTCCCATAATGGAGAAAATTAATAATTAATGTGAGTTAGGAAATATTTAATGGTCAACAACTTGGAAATCTATATCCTTCGTAAAACACTAAAAAATAGGAGTTAATTATGGAATATATTATGAGTTTTTGACTAAAAATGATCTCAAAAATATAAGGGTAAAAAAAGTCATTTTATGGTAAAATTTGCATTGAAAAATGAAAACATCAAATAAATCTGAACAAAAAAAACTCTCTAAAACATCAACTATTTCTGAACAGAGGGAGTAGTAGATTTAAGAAAATGATGATTGGTGTTTCTTTTAAACGGTTTACCATTAACTAGAATTTAAGACAAGGAGCATATATAACGAGAATCATTTGACTCTACTATTGTATCTACCGGCTTTATATAATTATTTTATTAAGTGTATCATCAATATATCTATCTATATATACATATATATATATACAGTGACAGAGTCAGAATTGTTTTTGACTGGGGCATATAGAAGTATATATAATTTAATAAATGGGGGCATTAACATTGATCACACTACTAAATTACATCAACTTTTGAAAATTGGTTGGGCGCGAATGACCCCATGCTAATGCATGTGGTTCCACCACTGTATATATATATATATATTAATAAATTAAATAACTTACAAACTCAGTATTTTATTATGTGACTCATGCTTCAAATTCTGGAAAAGAAGAATCGACTCTATGCATGAGTTTGTTTTCTTTGGTTTGTTTTGTTTGATTTTTTTAATGTTTTTATGTAGCTCTGCATAAAATATAAATTACGAATGCAATGTCCCTCTCTCTTATATTTTGCAAGTGGGTGGATTTTAACTCATTAGATTCCGCCGGACCAAAGGCAACGAGGCCAAAAGATATGTACCATGGTGGGGTGCAATTTCTTCAATATCAAATAGAGCATATATGGAGAAGATCATTTATTACTTCTCATGATTTTATATTTCTCTGAAGAATTTTGGTTCTTTCTTCGTAGGTCCGTTTTTCATCATATATTCCCGACAATACAAACATACAATGCAATCCTTCGGCGCAACCACTGCATATATATGTAGAAATCAAAGTCATCATATACCAAAGTTATACGCAGATTGATACATAAATTGAGTAATTATAACATATAATCATAAGTAATCTCTTTATACACAATAGAATCATATTAAAACTTAAAGGTTCATGATTAACATTCAAGAATAATTTTTTACAAACTTTTTAAAAATAAAATTTATGGCAAAATCTATACGTAATTCGTCGGAAAAATTGTTCTCTTTCAAGTGGGTATCGAACTTGGGAATTTATTATTTGCTATAATAAACTTATGTTCAAGATGACTTATTACCCAAAAATGGTTTATCAAAAATAAATGAAAAAATTGGAAATTTGTTGATCAACTATAATTTCGACATAAAAAAAAAATTGTTGTAATAGGTGTTCTTAATTTCTTTGTTTCATATATGGTTATCTTGTTAGTTATAATATCTGTTTGATGTAATAAGCGAACATTTATATTTTTAAAACTAATAAATAATGTTACATGGTAAAAAATTTACATTTGTTGTGGCTCCATGGCGGATTTCATTTAGTTGCTATATTCGAAGATAGGTATCTTGAGTTGACCAGAAAACAAATATCTTATTTAAATTGTTAATATGATTGTTTTTTTGGATAAAATATATCAGATTGTTTGTAGGTTCCTTTTGCTTTTTATGTTAGTGGCCGAGCGCTGGTGGCTGAAGAGTTATAAGACCACCTCCATCAGGGTTTCGTACTCATTTTTCGGTCTAATTTCCTAGACAAAATCGATTAAAATTAAATGAAAAGTCCAAAAATTTTGATGGACTGATCTTTAGCTAAGAGGTGTAGAAGACAGTCTCTTTAGCGATGTGGAGGAAGGTGATTGGTTCTTCAATTTTAATGTAATTGTTTAATAAATTTTTTATTTTGGAAATTCATAAAAAAAATCTAGATTTTCTTTTTTTTTTCTCTCTTTTGTAACGACGATGTTGAGATCGCCCTTCAAACTCCTCCAACTTACGCCTCTGCCATCGTCTCGCAGTTATCTTCGTCGTTCTCTATCTCCTACACAATCGCAAAGGACCCGGCTGTTCGCATGGCGGAGGCGGAGAAGACAAAGGCCGCTGGATCTGATTCGACCCTATGGCAACGACTCGATTCGTTCGGTCGGTTCGGGAAGTTTGTTGGAAAGTACATCCCTGAGACCTGAACCACACCGGTGCTCACAAGATCAACAATGCGGTGTCTCAAGCTCTTCTCGCCAAACGTTTAGGAAAGAAGATAATTATCGCAGAGAGAGGAGCTGGAATAAAAGATAAATGCTTTTGTCTTCAATGTGAGATTAAATTTTTTAAAAAATTTTCTAAAGATATCCAATAAAGGATTCACTAATAAAGAACAAAAAAACAGGAGTCTTTTAACCCAAATCAACTCTTCAACAAAATTAATAAAAAAATCTTAAGAGATTCATATTAAGTTACACTAATGGAACTGCTCTAATTAAGCAGTAGGGTTCATCATATTTGGATGATCCCGTCGCAAATCATTTGCTTTTATTACAAAAATAAATTTTGAACGATTTCACAACAGTCATCAATATCATCATCGTAACAATTTTTTTTTTGAGATTCTGAAAGGGTAAATTAGTTGTATTTAACTGTTCAGCAGTCTTATTTATTTGTACCTCTTTTTTTGTTAAAAAATTATTTGTACCTCTATGTATTTTATTTGTCTATCTAGTTTGTCAAAGTTAATTACTGATTTTTTAAAATTTATCAATATAAAGGTTTTGCTAAAAGATTTCTGTAGAAAATATTTTTTATGAAGCCTGCTTTTTTGTCGAATATATATATTTTTGTATTGGTCTCGCGTGAAGTTATATAGGATGTTGTCGTTTTATACTTCAAATAAACCAGTTGTACGAATCATTTACGCTGTATGAAAATAGCATTAAAATATATGAAATATATATAGATTATACTTTAACAAAAAAAGGAAATTATGACCTCGATATATATATACATACACATGACACATCGCTATAAACAAAGGATCCTTGATAATGTCGTTGTTGGGGGTTAGAGTTACGTACAAGTAACTTGAATGAAATAAAAGCTTTGGTAGAGACATAGACAGCTAAGATAAGAGCATCTCCACTAGTGAGACTCACTTAGTGTCTTTTAACAATTTTTTAGTATTATTTTTTGGGGAGAGAAAAGAAACAAGAGACTCATCTATTTGTAGTGTTCACTAGTGTTCTCTTTATGATGTCTCTTAATAATAAAATAATATTTTCTTTCGTGTTAATTTAAATTATTATTTTATTGAATAATAAAATTTTAAACATACAACTTATTGAATAAGAAAACATTAAACAATACAAATATCTTTTAAATAATTATTGAAGTAGAACATACAATTAAGATGTGAATTACGCGGGAATTGTGTTCCAAATGTGCTCCACTAGATCATCTTTTAAACGTTTATGTATTTGTTGATCACGAACTTCATTACGAATGCCGATCATATTGTTGATGTTCGTAGGCATATCTCTTGAATACGCCATATCAACATGTGATGATCTGCTTCCGTCTGCTTGTTGGAATCCAGATATATCGTACAAACTGCGGTTACCTCGTTCGTTTTCTACAATCATATTGTGCAATATGATTGATGCCCTCATAATCTTTCCAATCTTTTCCTTGTCCCAGATAGTGCCGGATTTTTAACAATAGCAAACCGAGCTTGAAGAACCCCGAAAGCACGCTCGACATCTTTACGGACATATTCTTGAACTTTGGCAAATTTTTGTTCTTTTTCACTTTGCGGAAGGTTAATAGATTGGATAAACTTTGCCCATTTTGGATAGATACCGTCAGTTAGATAGTAAGGCAACTTATAGTTGTGACCGTTCACAGAATACCTAACTTTCGGAGCCCGACCTTGTAATATGTCGTCAAAAACAGGTGAGCGGTCAAGAACGTTTATATCATTTAATGTACCTGGAGGGCCAAAGAATGCGTGCCATATCCAAAGATCGTATGATGCCACAGCTTCTAAAACGATTTTCGGTTTTCCTGCACCCCGGGTGTATTGACCTTTCCAAGCGGTTGAACAATTCTTCCATTCCCAGTGCATGCAGTCGATGCTTCCAATCATGCCGGGAAAGCCCCGTGACTCTCCAACATCGAGCAGGTGTTGGAGATCTTCCGGTGTGGGACGTCGAAGGTATTGATCTCCAAACAATTCTATTATGCTTGAAGTGAAATTTTCCAAGCATAAAATTGCGGTAGATTCACCTATACGCAAGTATTCATCCACCGCGTCTGCTGCACAGCCGTACGCCATCATCCGAATTGCGGCTGTACATTTTTGAAGTGCTGTCAGCCCTAATCGACCGGTAGCGTTCCGTCTTTGTTGGAAATATGGAACCTCTTCAGATAGCCTATCCACAATATGCATGAATAAAGTCTTGTTCATGCGAAAACGCCGTCGAAATATGTGTGGAGGATAGATTGCATCTTCCGAGAAGTAGTCATTCCATAACCGGATTTGACCTTGTTCCCGTTGTCGTTCAATGTATGCTTTTTTCTTCTTTTTCTTCTTGGCAGTTGCTAGACGTTCCATGATCTCTTCATACGCTTCCTCGAATTTTTGCTCAAATATTACATTAAAAGATTCTTCAAGTGCATCTTCAAATTCATCATCTTCAAAGTCATCTGAGTCATCAGAATTATAGTGCGATGAAGACGCCATGTAGAAGATATAATTTGGTGAAATGGTTTGCGAGAACAGATGAAGAAGAAAGAAATGTGTATTTCTAAAATTTTGGGTTTAGGATTTGAAGATTGAGAGAATAGATGTAAACGAGAGAATAGATGTAAAAGAGAGAATAGATGTAGAAGAGAGAAAATTATATATACAGCACCAGTTTACATTACACTCGTGATACCATCGTCAACAATTATTTTAAAACATCACTAACCACTAGTTTACAAACATACTCGTGACACAAGTAAACAAAAAAAGAGGAGCTCGTGACAGAATACTCCAAAACTTCTTGCCCCACATAAAGCACTCCACAAAAACCTGAAAAAAAAGACAGAAGTCATAGAAAACAAGTCAATAATTGCACTTCAAGCATTGAAACGAACAAATAAAATCAAACATTGAACATGACTTTCAAGCAAACATATCCGAATATATCCAAATATTGAAACAAACATACTCGTGACATTGAACATGAATTTCAAGCAAACATATCCAAACATATCCAAACATTGAAACAAACATATTCGTTTCAAAGGTTTACACGACTAACACAAGAACATGATATTGAAAGAACATGATATTGAAAGAACATGACATTGAAAGAACATGACATGATATTCAAGATAACAACTCAGAAATCAACTTGTTCTTCAGGGCATTTTCGATGTCAGATAGTGGCTCAGGTTTCGCTAGGAGATTGTCCAGTGTTTTGTGCTTTGCGAGTTTTGACTTCATCTCCATATCTTGTTGTCTACTCTTAGCAATTTCGGCCTTCAACTCCAGATCTTTTTGCCTAATACTCCACAAGTTCTGAAACTCGACAAGTGCCTTACCCTCTTCTGTACAGCCGTTTTGCTTCTTGGCTTTTGCTTTAGAAGCTTTCACTCCTGGTGGTCGCATCTCTGCAGCATCAGGGACTCCGGCCTCCACATTGTTAGACGACTGACCCGATCCACCTTCATCCAGCTTTTTTCTTTTCGAGCTTGCACTATCTTTTAGAGCAGAGGCTATGCACCATTTCTGGTCGTGTCTTAACTCGCGCCATGCATGTTCTAAGACAAACTTGAAGCCATGATCATTAAAAAAAATGTCATGGGCGCCTTTCATGACATCATTTTCATTCTGGCCGCTGGTCTTCTCTTTCGTAGCTGCTTCATAGCATCCTAGTAGGCAATGTTTTATATTGAAGATTTTATAGAGGAGTTAAAGTTTATGTTGTACAAGTTTTTTAAAGAAGTCAGAATTAAGCAAAGTGTCATTTACTAACCCTAACCTAACAAGCATTGATCACAATAGATCCTAAAGCACACGCAAACTTTCTATTTTCATTCAAGGCATTACAAAACTAACAACTTTAAGCTAACTACTTTATGCAAGCATTTATACCAACTCAATGCCTAACTACTTCCGCAAAGACAAAGGGGAAAAAGGAGACTAACCTCGTTGAGAAGACTCGATGATAGGATGCCATCAGTTGTTATCTCGAGTACCCCACCATGTTAACCTCAGAAACAAAAAATTTAAATAAGTAATGGACATATGACATTCATTTACTCCAACGACTAAGCCTTAACTCCTCTACCTAACCAAAAGCGAACTAGCATTAAACACAAACAAGTGCAAACGCAAACAAACTCAAACAAGCGATGTTGAGGCTCACTTAAGTAAACAAGTCTCAAACACATATGCCAACTTCATCGTATACCCTAAACCACGAATTACTCTTCAAAAAGTTGCAATTATTTGTAAACATAGGATGTGTAGTGTGAACAATGTTCTACAGATTCTATAGATAAGCCAACCAAATCAACAGAAACAAAAGAGATTGATTAATTGACAAAGTACTGATACTAAAGCATATTGAGCAATTGGCATGCCTGGAAAGTCAAGCCTCATCTCCCACCTTTATTCTCAAGTTTTTCCTCCAAATTCAACAAACCCTAAATTTAAAAATTTCGACAAACCACACAATTCGAGTGTAGCCGTTGTTAAAAAATCATCTACATGCAACCGCTAATACAGATAAACCCCTAATTTGAACTTTCAAACATGTGAAAAATTTCCCCTAAATTCGAGAAAACCCTAAATTCGAAAATTCAATTTACGAAAATCAATAATTCGACTGTAAACGATGTTAAACAACATCTACATGCACACGCCGATACACAAAAACGCCTAATTTGAACCGATGATTAACCCGATCAATTTCTCCCAAATCGACAAACCCTACTTTCCCCCAAATGTTCATCAAATAAAAGAATTAGAGGCTTTGCGAGATGTTACCTTACACAGATGACGGAAGAGATGGTCCCGCGGTGCAGAAAACGACCGGAAAAACGATCTTCAGGCATCGACCAAATCACCTTAGTCGTCGCCTTCGAGAGAGGAAAAAGAAGAGAGAGTTGTTTTCTGTGTTTTCCCCGAAAAAAAAATTTGACCCCCAAAATAATTTATTAAAATTGTAAAAACGTTTAAAATCAAACACCACTAAAATTCTGCCACATGTCCGACGATACGAGCTCGTCCGCTTCTAATATTAGGAGCGCTCCGTCTAGTTTTTAGCCGAGAATCATTTTAAAAATGACTGAGTCATATGAAACTGTGCCGAAATTTTTTTAAAATCTCTTACTGGAGATGCTCTAAGTGTGAAGTCTCGTATTATGGATAAACTGTTTGTATTGTTTTGTGGATGTGAATTTGTCTCAATATCAAATTGCCCCGTCATCTCTTTCGAACCATTGTGTGGCAATATCCCAAGTTCCCAACCCTCGTGACGCTTTTGATTTTGAAAAAGAAAAAAAAATCGAGGAAAGCATAATCGCTTCCAAAATATAATAAATGAAGAAGAGCTTGCGTTATGTATTGGTTTATTTAGTTAAATATTAATTTATCATGGATTTTCAACTCTGCAATTACTAAATTGGTCTGTTTTATATATAACTTTACACACTATCTGATTATCGATTTTCACTGACATTTTCTCCTCACGCTTATTAACATCTGAAATGTAAACTTTTGTGGGAACAACACCAACGAGGATGGTCCAACAATCAGATGGTTTTGATAGCATATTAATTAGAATTGCAAAAATCTATTAAAAAAAATCATAGAACAATTTTGAAATTTTGCTGCGTATTAAACCGATGGCGGTTATGTGCCAATATATACAAACGAGCGTATCATAAATTACGCTAGGATTCTTCATGTCTAAGAGAACTATCTAAACTAATATCATATACATTAATCATATCATATCAAATCTCATTAGCATCTTAATCAAAAATATATAATATAGACAGAGCCGTGCCCAAGATTTTAGAACACGTAAACAGTGTTAAAAAAAAAGGCCCTATTTAACTATCAACGTCTCAAATTCATATAACATGATTCATATAAAATAAATAATAACAAAAATCGTTCTAAATTATATAAAATCAATTATATATAAATAATTCTCATTATTGTTTTTAAATTCACAAAACTATAATAAATATCTATGATATAAAACTTGGTTTAATCTAAACTTTCGAATCATATTTCTTTGAAGTTGATAAATGAACCAATTATTTAAGTTTTTGTTTGTAATTTAATCTAAATTACAAATCAAACCAAATCTAATATTAGATAAAAAAAAATTATATTGAAAAAAATTCAAACTAAATATAATATTAGATAAAAAAATATATTAAAAAAATACTTAACTATTAATTTATACTACATGAACAAATGTTATCTTACTAATATATGAAACTAATAATTTTAATTAAAAAACTAGACCTTTTAATTATTTTTTAAAAAATTAGCCCGTAGGCGAATGTTTATTATTGTTGTACATAGGCACGGCTTTGAATATAGATACTCCATAACTGAAAAAAGTTGTTTGCCTTATCCATACCTTTGAAATGTAGCTCGTGTGGACCAGAGACACAAATGGGTCCATTGTATGTCTTAAGAGTCAAAACATCAATCCTCAAAGTTCGAATATGCATCTTATGTACGTTTCAAGTTTAAGCTATGCAAGGACCAAGGAGCCAGGGAATAATGTTCTTTTGATAAAATTGCCAGATTTGATTTTATTTTTTGTAACAGTATGTAATATGGTTTCTAAATTAAGAAAACGTTGGAATGTTTATGGATTAAGCAATTAATTGGTAAAATGTGTAACATCCAATTAAAAAAAATGTTCGATTTAACTAGCTAGTTTCAACAATGGTGGAATGTGTATATCATTTTCAAAAGAGCTAAGAAATGAAGAGAAAACAGATTTACCAAAAGTATATACATGTAAGTTGCTCTAAAAATGAAGTTGCTCGAAAGAAGTACATATATAGCTTTCATGACAGCTGTGGACCAAAATATTAGGCAGGTTATTTCCCATTCATTTCATTATTATTTTCCTAATATTTAAAAAGATGATTAAGTTACACTAATTGTGGCTGTCGCAGTAGCTTACCTGATGGTTTCGTAAACGCAAAATTGATCAAAGGACAAATGATTAATAAATATCATTTCGTATGAACACGTATAAATATTAAAAATAACGAAAAGTACTACAGGAAACTATCCAATTTAATAGATTGGCAATATAGATCTCATTCGTATGATTTATTTATAATTTTAAACTTTATAATTTTAAGATTTTCAGTCTATCCATTTGATTAATATAGTACTACATATTGATTTGCTGAACTATTTTCTGTACCACAACAGGGGCCCATTTAGATAGAACCAGAGGAGAAATATGGGCCAAAATTTATCAAGCCCATACTCACGAGTCACGATGAGCACTATCTTAGTACAGTATCTGATATATTTTAATCTATAATGGACATTTCTCGTCATAGAGGAATTCCACTATATCTAGCTTTTACAAATTAAATACCATAAAAAACCCATAGCAAAGAACTAGGGGTGAGAAAAAAATAATCAAAACCGAAAATACTGAACCGAATAAAAATAAAGGAAATGATTTGTTTTGGTTGTGGTTTAAAGACTAATAACTTACAAACAAATGATTAGAACAAAGACAAGATAGTTCAACAACAGAGCAACAACAAAGTGACGAACAATTGTCTCCATTCCATAAGGATCCACGACTACCATAGAGATTTTGGCCAACCTCACAATTAAGGTGGTTGTCACAACTAAAAACCCATTTCGTTATTATTTATTCCCCCTTTTGACTAAGAGTTTCCAAGATTTTACCGGAGAATTCACGGTTTTGAGCTCTCTCCGTCGCTGGCGATATCTTTGTCTCCAATCATGGCGTTAGTAACAGAGAGAAAGACAGTGTGACTTTACTGGTCGGTGATGGTGAGAAAAAGGTTTTTGGATTTTGGCCATTCGTGTGGACTCCGTGGCACAAAAACAAAATATTGTTAAGAATGACAATATTCTCGTTGAATTCACTCTAAAAAACTAACGCATGACATAACGAGTTGTTTAATAATCTAAATTGCAAGAAGAGATAACGAATTCATATTTCGAGATGTTAGCTCGAGTCACTAGACGGCGTTTGTCTTGTCTCGATAAAGCAAAGAGGGGAGTATTGTATATATGCAGAATTAATTTTTTAGTAATTCGAATTATATGAATAATACGATACGACCACATATTTTTTTAATGTCTTCTCTTTTTACTTCTGATTTCACTAATAACCTATTCGAATCAGACAAAATAGATGAAAATTAAAAAATGACTTAAAAAATACCTCAGTTGGACGGTTTGATATTTTCATCTAAAATCTATTATATAATGAAAGAGTTTTCTCTCCATCTAAGGTGTCCCTATCAACATGAAAAAAAACTTAAATTAATAACTTAATTAATACAGATATTTTAAAATAGTAGTATTTGATATTATTCTTATCTAATAATAAAAGAGAAACACTAATACTAAAATTAATGACTTAATTAATTTACATATTATTTATTATTATTATTTTTTTCATTACGAAGAATAAGAGTAAAAATTGAAAAAACATAAAAAAACATGATTAAAGAAAAAAATGATGATGAAAATGAAAATCATAGACGATAAAAAATAATAAGAACAATAACAAAAAGAAGAAAAAATCAAAATATAAAAAAAAATACGTAGATGAAGACAAATAAAAGAAGAAGGATACATACATGAGATACATAAAAATAAGAGACGAAAAAATCAAAAAAAGAAGATGAAGAAAAACCGAAAGAAACAAAAAATAAAAAGAAGTTGAACTGTTCTAGATACTTAGGGTGTTGACCAAAAAAAGAAATAGAAGTCGAAGAATATGAAAAAAAAAATAAAGAAGAAAGAGAAGAACACATAACTGATGAAAAGAAATTTCAAAAAATATGAGAACAAAAATGTTGAAGATGAAAAAAAAAACCCAAAAATAAAAATACCAAACTATGATAATATGATGATAGAAAATAAATCTAATAAAATCAATAAAAAGACAAATATAATGAATTAATTGTGTTTAAAGATGAAATTCTACGCAACGCGCAGATTATAAATCTAGTATAATATAACGAGGAAGTTATGTAGTTATGAAATATATACTTCATAACTTTAGATTAAGTTTAGTTTTGAGATTATTATTTTAATAGGATATATAAAGTTATGTATAGTATAATAATAAAAAGTATGATTAAAAAATTATGCTTTTTAGTTATGTTAGTATAAAAATGTGTCAAATAATTTTAAATAACATTTACAATGAAAGGAATGAAGTATGAATTATTATGATATAAATCGTTATGTCTTCGAATCCATTTTCTGATATTTTTACAAGTAGCCGCGATTACATCTGCTATTAGCCGTTGACTTTCTTAGTCTCTATGCATGTTAATGTGGTCGTCTTATAGACAAATTAATTTAAGTACGCAGATAGAAAACAAATATCGAGCGTTGACCAGACAAAAAATATCAAACCGTCCAGCCCGGTAAGGTAATTTAATAGGTTGCTACCTAACATTAATAAGAAATACTAACCCAACTATCAAATCTCAGAAAAGCCCAAATAATTATTTGAGTCGTGGAGAATTTTTTTCTTACTAGAAAGACTCGGGATAAACCGATATGAACCAACATACGCGATCCATTAACCGAGTCATATTTTTTTTTTCTTGGTAAAGAAAACCGAGTCATATGAAATCATTTTTTCTATATGAAAAAAGTTAAGTCATATCAAACCAAAGTTCTTTGTTTTTTAATCTAAAACCGAAATTCTTTAAATTAAAGATATATTTTACTGAAATTAGATTTTGAAACCATCCCATCTATAAACACTCAAGTCAAAACTGAACCAAAATTATGCAGGACTATCAATTTCAAATCTAAATATTTTATTGTAACATGCATATCATGTGGTTCCTAATATAGTCTATAAAAACTTCTTAAATCGTAGGCTTCATCAAAGTAATTTT